TGCAACAGAGGAACTGAGTTGTCCATTTTCATTAATTTACACTTCAATAGCCACGTGTGACCAGCGGCTGCCTCACTGAGCAATGCAGTTATAGAATGGGGCAAAGACCCTGTTCCCGCCAAGGGGGGAAATGCATCATTGTTAGCAGTCACCTAAATTTGTAAAGAGTGGGTCCTTCTAAGGGTGCTGACAACATGAAGGCCCCTCCGAGAAGGACAGTGACTTGCCCAAGGTCTCACAGTGAGGTAGCAACCCACATCTTCCTACTCCAGCTTTTTCTTTGTTTCTGAGGAATATGGTGGTTCCCCTTTGCACAGAGGGGGCTGGGGTGTGGGTAAGATGGGGTGCCCTCAAGCTGTGCTGAACACAGTTAAGTGTATTACATTTGTTTATTTATCCCCATCACCCCCATTTTACAGGTGAGGCAACTGAGGCCCAGGGAGGGGAAGTGCTTGCCCACTGTCCTGGAACCCATAAACAGGCTGCGGTCTTGCGAGGCTCTCTATGATTGCGGTCCCGGGGTTGTCACGCATCTTTGCTCCTGGAAGTTTCCGAGGTGCGTGAGATCTGGGCTTACACACCCAGCCTGGACAGGTGCAGTCAGTAAGCTTGCACAAGCCTCTCTCTTTCCACGGAGCTGTTTTTCCAGCCCGGCCTCCTAAGACTTGGCTCCTGCAGGTGACACACCTGGTGCTCCACCCTCCTGCTTATTCAGGGCCGGATTTGAGGGGCGGGGCCTAAATGTCAGGTACACCTGTTAGAAAGATGAGCGCAGGAAAAACCCGCCTTTGCCACCGTTAGCCCTGGAGAAGGGCACCCGTCCCCTCTTGCTCTCTGCTCTGACCTCCTTTACCACCTTCCCCTGAGGCTCCCTGGCAGAGCCCTTCCTAACGATTGCCCCAGTTCATTGTGCCAGAATCCCCGTGGTATGGGAGTAGGGTTGCCGGCCGAAACACAGAACATCCCGTTAAATTTGAATTTCAGATAAACAACGAATACATTTTTAGTATATGTGTGTCCCGTGTGGTATTTAGGACAGACTAAAAAATGACTCGTTGTTTATCTGAAATTCAAATGTAATCATGCATCTGAGGTGTTTTGTTTGTCTTGCTTTGCTGTCCTGTGTTGGCTCTGCCTGACAAGCCCGAGCTGGCGGCAGTATCCCTGTACAGTCAGCGTACATGACCACTGAGACCCGGACAGATGATGGGACGTGAGCAAGGTCACGGGCAGGCCCTGACCGGAACTGGATTCCACACCAGGTCTCTTGGCATCCTGTGCCATCTGCGTAAACAGTGAACAACCTCAGTGGCTTCCTCAGGGCAGTTTGGGAAAAAAAAAAAATTCAAAACAAACCGAAACAAACCTGTCTTCCTTCTACCTGCCGGATGTGTTAGCAGCCGCAGACACCGTACTGTGAGATAGCCTTTTGGTGACAGTGTGTGGGAACAGGACCTGACAGGATGGGCGATTGGGGTAAGTGATGAAGGAGAGAGTGTCTTAGTCCATTCAGGCTGCTATAACTAAAACACCACCAACTGGGTGCTTATAAACAACAGAAATTCGTTGCTTCAAGTTCTGGAGGCCGGAAGCCCAAGATCAAGGTGCTGGCAGATTTGGTGTCTGGCACGGGCCCTGTTCCTGGTTTGTAGACGGCCGTCTTTGTGCCGTGTCTTCACATGGTGGAAGCGGCAAGGGCTCTCCCTGGGGTCTCTTCTATAAGGGCACTCATTCCATTCCTGCGGGCTCCAACCTCACGACCTCATCACCTCCCAGAGGCCCCAACTCCAAATACACATTGGGGATTAGGTTTCAACATAGGAATTTTGAGGAGACACAAACATTCAGCCTGTGTCAGGGAGCAAGCGTGAAAATTCCAGAGTCTTGAGTACTGCTGGAGATGGTAAGCCAGGACTGGGATACGGGGGTCAGGGTTAAGACCTTTTGTAATCTGACCCCAGGGCACCTCTTGGCGCCCTGACCCCAGGGCACCTCCTAGGCGCCCTGACCCCAGGCTTCCTCCTGCTGGTCCTCACCTGGTACCTGCTCATTGGTCACCCAGGGACCTCTGGCTCTCCAGGCTCCTCACCTTTGCTCATGCTGTTCCCTCTGCTTGCCGCCCGCCACCCCCACCCCACCTTCCAAGGCCCATCTCTAATGCCCTTGTGCCCCAAGCAGATGCAGTGCCTCGTTTTACCATGCAGACTTGTGTGTGCTGCTTCTGCTCCCTGGAGCCTTCTTGAGGCCCAGGGTGTTCCCTGCTCATTTCTGTACACGTGCCGGGCCTGCACTACAGGCAACCCACAAATGTTTGCCTGGAATGAGGGCAGGGGCGGGGCCCCGGAGGCAAACCTCCTGCTTTGCAGTTTTGCTCAGACGCTTGCACTTGAGTCATTCAATGTCAGAGCAGCCAGGCACTCCCTTGCAGAGGGCCTGCCTCCCTGGGTGCGGGTTTGGGGTCCTTCCACCCGTGTTCACAGTAGGGTCTGAGGGCGGGACCTGTGTGTGATATTCACCCGGGAGTCCCCACAACCTGGAGCCCAGTGTCTGGCATGTGGCAGGTGCTTATAAACTCGTCCTGGGTGGACAGATGCACGGAGGGAGTCATTCACCTGTCATGTATCATCACACACTCTTTGGGGCACCTGAGAGACCCCATAGTGAACCAGGCGGAGCCATATGACCAGGCCTGCTCTCAGGGAACTGTGTCCACCAGGCATGTAGGCCGTAAACAAGTGGGCCTCCCACAATAATAAGGGGTTTTGTGCAGGTTGTCCCAAGTACTGCCAGAATTGGACAGGACTTTAGGTCTCTTGAGGTGACAATGGGCTGAGAGCGGCTGACGGAAGGCTCCTGTGGAGAAGGGAAGGAAGCACTTCTGGCGGCCCTGAGGAAGGGTGACTGGAGTGCCTTCCAGAGCTGGAAGACCCCGGCAGCCTGAGGGGGGCGCCAGGGCTGCCCGGGCAGACACAGCCAATGGGATGGGCAGCGAGGGGGCGTTTTCAGCACAGGGGTCAGGTGACATGCTCTGCATTTAAAGGGGCCCTCAGACTTCCGTGGGGAGGTTGGAAGTGGGTTAAGGAAGAGCTGGGAGGGCAAGGAGGCCTTTCTCGCATACACAGCAGCTGGACCCAGAGGCGGGAGTAAGAGAACGCCGGGAACCTGGGCCAGAGTCCATACCGCCTTTTCCCAAGGCCTCTGGTGGTGGGGGACGCCCCACCCTCAAGGCCTCCACTCTGCTCCTCCTCAGCCTGTCCCCAGACCCGGCTTGGCCTCGAGGCCTGGGATCCCCGAGGCCTGTAGGCACCTAGGGAAATGGCGGCTGCTGCCTTACCAATATTGAGCGTATCCTGTGGACCAAGCCCAGTGTGAAGAGGGCTTCCTGCTCTATCTCCTTGGAGCCACATAACCTGATCAGGTTTTACAGATGGGGTGTCCGAGGCTCGGAGAAGGGACTTGTTCACGACCACACGCCTGGTCGGTGGGGGTAACTTGAAAGCTGTGTCAAGCCATGCCCCTCTGTGAGCCTCACCGGTGAGGCCTGCACACCCAACTCCCATGACAGTGTGAGACGGGATGGCGAGAGATGGCCCCTCGGAGGAGGTGGGGTGGCCTGTGTCACACGAAGAGGTGGCCACAGGAAGAAGGGGCAAAGGGTGTTCCAGGTGGGGGGCACTGCACGGACAGAGGTCCTGAAGCTGGAAAGAGCTTGGCATGTTGTAGAGAGGGACGCGTGTGGCAGGAGGGTGGGGAAGAGGGACAGAGTGATGGGTGTGTTAGTGGTAGAGCAGAGGCCAGACCCTCCGGGGCCTGCCACAGTGAATAATTCAGAGTCTCCCTTAATCCGTGGGGTGAGCACCCTGGGCACGAGCTCATGCTCTCTTCAGGGTTCCTGCTGCAGAGGTGTGTACAGCCTAATGAGGCCGCTTTACCCCCGGCTTTTAGCATCCTCTGCAGCTTGGTGTCTGTTACTCAGGTGAGCAGACCTGGGTGTGTGGGTGCCAATCAGCCTGCGGGACTGAGCTGGCTTACGGACTCCTGTGGGACGAAGGCGCACCTTCCGGGTACCTTCCCAAAGTTCCCCAGGGCCCAAAGGATGCTGCCTTCTCCTTGGCCTCATCCCTGGGCACTCAGGTGTATAGAGTTGGGCTTAAGAACCGCAGAAACCTCTGCCCATTGTGTCGCCGTTGTGTTGCCGTTGTTACTGCTTGTTAGGACCCGTTTTTTTGTTGTTTTTTAGCTGAGCCATCCTGCCATCTGTTGGCAGCTCAGTTCGGGCCGGGAATCAAACCGGCGACCCTGTTGCTCAGAGCTCACACTCTTGAGTGAGCTCTTAACCAACTGAGCCACTCGGCCGGCCCTCGTTTGGACCCGTTTTCCTGCACATTCAGGTGTGAATGCCGGCGTCCTATCTCTGGGCTCCTGAAAGCTGTGTGTTTCATGAGATGTGCTGAGTGTGCCTTGCCAGGGCTGTTTCCTGAGTGTCAGACTGGGAGCTCAGGCCCTGCTACCTACGACCTTTTTGACCTCGTGGAGCTACTTAATCTCTCCAGGCCTCAACTTCCCAGTCTGTGAAATGGGGGTTAGGACAGTACCCGCCTCCGGAGGTTTGGTCGGATGAGATGAGATGACGCATACGCGCACCGTGGCATGCTGCCGGCTCCCGCCACCTCTCCCTTCTCACTCCTGCCCTGCGCTCTGGAGGGAAGAAGACTATCGGCCGTTGGAGTAGACACCCTCAGCGGAACCCTAGAGAACCTGGTGGGGTGTGAGGGTCCCACCAGGCGCACACTGCAGACTGGGCGTGGGCCCAGGACCAGACCTGGGGCTCTTTGGAATTAGGTAGTGGCTTTGGGGGTGTTGTTTTTTCACATGTGTAGAAAAGGCTCTGAAAGCCGAGCTAACAGGAAAAGCCAAAACACCTTCAAACTGTCCCCAGAAAAAGTGAGCGGGCGTGAGCCAGCGTCCCCGTCCTCTAACCCTGTGCCCCTCTCCCCTAGTGCTCCTGCGGGAAGAAGTGTCTCGGCTCCAGGAGGAAGTCCATCTTCTCCGGCAGATGAAGGAGATGCTGACGAAGGACCTGGAGGAGTCACAGGGCGGCAAGTCCTCCGAGGTCCTCTCGGCCACCGAGCTCAGGGTCCAGCTGGCCCAGAAGGAGCAGGAGCTAGCCAGAGCCAAAGAAGCCTTGCAGGGTGAGTGACAGATCTCCGGCGGTTCCCTCCCTTCCCTCGCCTGGAGCTCGGGCTCAGGCCACAGGGGCGCCGGGGAGCCAGGGTCTGGCCTCCGCGAGGGAAATGACGTGGACACGGGTGTCTCCCAGTGCCCCGACCCCCAGACGAGGCTGCCCTTTCTCCTTTTTGGGTGGGATGCTGCCTCTTGCAGGGTTGGGCGCATATGTCATCCCCTCCTCCCATGTGACCGCCCCTTGTTCCCCATCATGGCCGGTCACGGGGCAGCTCCCTACAAGGCATTAATGGCAGGTGGGTGGGAATGTTTACTCAACCAGGGTGCTGACCCAGCAGCTGGGTCTCCTCTTTCCCAGCACCCTCGGGGTCCTTCGGTCCCCCGCTCACTGGACCTTGTGTATGTACTAGATTCTCTGCTGGAGGACGCGTCGGTCCCTGCACGTCACTCACGCTCCCCTTGGTGGTGGGTTCTCGGGGGAGAGCTTGGGTCTCTTCTCAAGGTGATTGGTCCAGAGGAGCTCCTTGAGGAGCTCCCTCGAAGAAGGGCAGTGTCTGGCCCTGGGGAAGGGGGGGGAGGAGTTGGGAGAGAATGTGCTTTAGGTGCCAGGTGGTCTTTGGCCCAGATGGACCATGGACCCATAACCACCGTGTGACTGGTGTGTCGGCAGCCGGAAACTGCTTTAAGAAGGAAACAAGGAAACCAGTGGACCCACATGTTCCGCCTGCTTGCCTTAGAGCTGACTCGGGACACGAGTGGCTGCATACCCATCTCAGCCCACACTCTGTGGGGTTGGGAGGGTCCTCAAAAGATTAGTTGAGAAAGGTTGGTAGCCATCCCCTAACAGTGCTCGGAGAACTCCAGCATGAAACAGCGGAAGAGAATAGCCTTTGAGGTCTCTGAAAACCCTATGTTTGAAGCTAAAGCAGGTTAATTACTGAGGTTGACTTGGGGCTGCTGTAGCAGAGACCCCAAAACTGAGGGGCTTAAAGAACCCGTTTATCTCTCTCTTCTGTAACCATCCCAAGGAGCGTTTCAGACCAGGGGCTGTCTTGGCTCCCTCTGCCTATGAGAGACCCAGAGAAAGAGCCAAAATGAAGGTCGGAGATTGATTCTCTTTCGCAAGATCTTGGTCATGAGGCCATACCCGGCTGCAGGAAATGTCGTTTCTAGCTGGGGGTCCCTGTCCAGGCTTCAAGTCTAACTCGGGCATGGAGGGAGTGTATTTTGCTGGGAGTGTATTAGTCGGCTCTGTCCCAGCGGGTTTCCCTACTCAGACCAGTGGTGATGTGAGCAGCAGAACACTTGCACGCTGGCTAAGCAGGCTGTCTATCCAGCACCCCACTAGCCGTCCACCAGGAAGTCTGGGAAATAGCTTTGAGGGTGATTCCTTACCTAGGCATTACAACACTCCTTGTGAGTTTTTTTCAGCAGTGCATGGTACTTTCAAGGGCAGGGAGCCCCTTTTCTGTTGGTTTTGTTCCCATTGGGGCCGCTCGGCGTTCTGGGTGGTCTCTTCAGGCCGCAGTGGGCAGGTGGCATGCGTTACGGGTCCAGCTGACGCTGCATTGTTGGAAGTCGCTGTGACAAGCACGCGCGCTTTTTCTGTGCATCCATCCAACAGTCTAGGCAGAGCCGCCCGCCTCTCCCAGTTTTCCACGGGCCTGTAACATCCCTTTGCTTCCCAGGATGGAGACCCAAATCTTGGGACTCTTCCTTAGAAAGTGCCGCTGGACCCAGGGCCGTGTGAGCTGATGTCCTTTGGTCTCGCTGAGCTTTGTGAACCAGTGGAGCGTTGGGACTGCCCCAGGAAGCAGCCAAATGCTATCTCACCCAGTGGTTACCTTTTCCAGTATTTATTCCAGGAACAGAGAAGCCTGCCCTCCACACTTTTAGCCAGAGAAGACATTCTCACCCATATTCGCCCTTCTGGACCTGTGAGGGGTAGAACACCCCTCAGCTGTCCCTGGGCCCAAAGGAACGGGCAAGGGAGGGAGCAGAGGTTCATTAACGCCACCTCCCCAGCTCCTGGGTCAGACAGCCTGCCCTCTCCACACCTCAGTTTCCTGATCTGAGCGATGGGACAGTAGTGGGGAATTAAATGAGGGAATGTCTGTGAAGGCCATGGCACAGGTCCTGCTCAGTGAAAGCTAACTGTCAGCATCCTTCTCCCTTTAACCTGCAGGCATTTCTTCCCTAACACTGTGCTGTCAGGTTGCTTATTCGTCATCAAAGGCCTTTGCAGGGACCCAGAGATCCACCTGATGGGTTGGCTCCTTTGTAGGAACAATAATCTCATCAAAGGCGGCTTGTTTTTGTCAGTATTCATTAAAGGGAAGTTTTATTGAGCACCTACTTTGTGCCAGCACTATTCTAAGCACTTGATCTGCCATTCACCCCAAGCCTTCTAGAAGGTATTAACCTCCTTTCACAGATGGAAACACCTGAATGACATTCAGGGAGGTTAAGTGACTTGGCCAAGATTGCAGAGCTGATTAGCAGCAGAGTCAGAAACTTTTTCCACTGCACCAACATACCTCCTGCTCCCTCTGGGGATGAAGTCAGCCTAGACTGGAGAGACAGGAAACCATTGTATTACTAGCTCAGTAATGGAGCCAGCAGACTCTGGAGTCAGATCTGGGCTTGAATCTCAGCTATGCCACTTATTAGCTGTGTGACTTTGGACAGATTCCTTAGCTTCTCTGAGCCATAGTTCCCTTGCCGACAGTAGCAATAACAGTACCTATTTTTCTTATCATTGGGGCTAATAATAGTAGCTACTTCAGAGGGTTGTCATGAGGATTAAATGAGATATAAGGTGCTTGGCCCAGTGCCTAGTACCATTCGTGCAAATGCTTAGTGATTACCAGGGGAGAGGGGGCTTGGCATGCCTCCTTGGATCTGTGTGGTCTCCTGATTTCAGAAGTGGCCCAGACCTTGCAGCCCCTGAACCCATCCGGTAGCCATGTTCCTGAAAAGCAGTGAAGGGGGCACCTCCAGCCACCCGAGCCTGGCATTCTGCAGAGTCGTAAATAAGAAGCTTCCACCCCAGCCACAGCACGTGGTGAGGAAATTGCAGACAGATGTGGACAGAAGGAGGCTGGGGCATGAAAAGGGATTTATATGCCCATAATGAGGAGAACGAGAATAAACGCACAAGCCAAGTCAGAGGCAGATGTTGGGCAACACTTGTTAGCAACCAGTGTCCCTGTGGTGGGAATTTGCAAAGTCCCCAAAGACTTCCAGTCTGACGGGTCCCCACCCACCCTCGGTCTTTGGTTTGGGGTTGAATGCGACCAGAATTTTCCAACACGTGAGGGTTAGGAACTCAAAGCAAACACCCAAAACATCAGCCCATGGTTCCAACATCAAAGCAATGAAAAGAATATAGTTTGGGGAGAATGGGATTTAGAAGGTTCCTTTGTTTCTGTGGGGATGAGTCTGGGAATGTTTGGTTTAGGATTTGGGTTTTGCTGTGAATTTAAAGGCAGAAGCCTTGAGTGATTGTTTAAGAAAGAATGGCGTGACTCTGTGTGTGTGTGTGTGTGTGTGTGTGTGTGTGTGTGTGTGTGTGTCTGTGTGTGTCTGTGTAAACAAGCCCAAGTCCCTACGTGTCCCCACCCTCACACATATGGTAAGTTTGTAGCCCATGGGGCCCCTTTGGGGGTGTCTGTTGATTTCCCCAGGCCTCCCTCATTGTCACTGATTACCCCAAGAATCAAGGCATTTCAAAAACAATGATTATGAAAATTTGCTTCTTCCCATTTTTAGTCACTTAACAGCAATGTCAAGTGTGTTGAGCATTTTCCCACAACAATAAGTACTCTTAGAAAACATTATTTTTAATGACTACATAATGTTCTGCCAAATAGAGGCACTAGCCACTTCCCTAGTATTGGACATTTAGATTGTTTCCACTTTTTTCTTTTCGTGTTTGCCATTAAATAACACTACACTAAAGATAAACCTGTTCATAAATCTGTTTTTCTTAGGATGGTATTTCTCAGACTTTCTGGCCTCTGGACCACTTTACATTCTTACAAAATTGAGGCTCCCAAAGAGCTTTTGTTTATGTGGTTTAGATCTATCGGTATTTACTATTTTAGAAATTAAAACTGAAAACATGTCTAGGTCTTCAGTAATTTATTTTAAAATGACAATAATAAACCCATCACATGTTAAAAAAATAAAATTATTTTTAGTGAAAAATAACTACATTTTTCCCAAACAAAAAGATTTGCATGAGAAGAGCAGCATTGTTTTACATTTTTGCAAAACCTTTTTAATGTCTGACTTCATGAAAGACTGCTGAATTCTCCTATCAACTCCTTCAGTCAGGCTACTGTGATTTGTTTGTTGTTTTGGTTGAAAATATGGCATCACACAGATACGCAGTTGAAAAAGAGAGGAGTATATTAATTGCCTTATTAGATAATTGTGGATATTTTTCTTTGATGCCGCACTAAAGCTCACAAAATGGTACTTTCTTAGAGGTTTGCCGCAGTGTGGAATCTGAAACCTTATTTTTATGATATGTTACAGTGGACAAAGCCATTGGTCTAATTTGCACTATGACTGGAATTTGTACCCACACGTGATTTTTTTAACATCTAACATTGATCACTTGGAAAATATTGGTTCACTGAGTGATGCAGATCTTCCAAATGTTGACATATTTTATTATCCAATATCAAAAAGTCACACGTGTTAACATTACCACTAATCTCATTTAAAAAGTCCAAGTATTGAGAAGCTGTTAAAGTCGTAGTGGCAGGCTGTGGTTGCCAAAATTCTAATTTTTGCTCCAAAGCTTAAGTTTTATCATTGGCAGCAAATACTGTCAGCTGTTTTCCTAGAAGTAATAGGCTCACTTACTTAATTTGTTAATTTAGTTCAGTAGTTTGCCAGACACCATAATTTGTACATTAGTCATCCTTTCAAGTACAAATAGCATTCTATGAAAAACTGGCTAGTTTAGCTAGCAACTCAAACAGTCATACTAATGTTT